CACCCCAACAACAACTGTTCCAACTGGACAAACACCAACACCCACTCCAACTACTTCAAGCACATCCTCACCAACACCAACATACACCACCACCCTACCAACTCCAGGTACTTTTATGTTTTGTGCTCTCCTGTGTTGCCTTCCTGTGGTTGTAATGGAGGTCTATGAGCATTATCACTTGAGGTCGTCTATGGGATCCAGGATGGGAGGAAGAACTATTGGGCATTCCAGGAAATGTCCTGTGCCCAAAGCTGGTCTTTTGGGCTGGCTATTTCAGAAGAAGGATTCAGGAGTCATGAGGAGAAGGTCTTGTCTTCCCTGATTCAACAGTCTCCAAGGAAGCTTTTGATCCTAGTGCCTAGCTTAGACAGATGCTGAACTGACAGGAAATCTTGTTTTGCTACTGTTGAACTTTTTTCTTCAGCTGGGCAGAATGTATTCATTGGACCCATGGTGTATAGTTGGAGTGGGGTTTAAGTTAGTGATACTGGCATTTTAGGCAGTCTTTCCCAACAGCTTTGCAGACATTCTTCCCTTTCTCTCCTACTCCTTTGCCTGTCTATGCTAATGGTTTTCAGAGGCTGTAAATATGGGGAGGAAGGATTCCCCTGACATGCTTTTGGGAGAAGTTTCACTTTGCATACTACATCGTGCTGTGAATTGTGGCCTTTGGGTGAACAGATCCACTAGTATACTCGGATATGCTTTATCAGGGTGACATTGGGAACACCACGTGCCAGTCAGGCAGGAACGTACTTCTGTGCATGCTTCATTCCTGGACTGCATATTCTATTCTCTGCTCTTGCTCCAGGATTTAGTGAGGTGTTCTAGGTAATGACACAGAGCTAAAAAGCCCCAGCCAGATCCAAAGAATTATTTCTCCTCATCTCTTCCCTATTGGTAGGTTTCTCTGATTTTATGAAAAGCACCTTCTAGCATCGTCCCCAATTTCTTCACCAGGGAAGGAGGGACATGACTATCTCTGTGCACGGATGTCAGGAAGTCTCCCTTCTGGGGCCAGAAACGGAGGGCTGGGGCTGTGGACTTGTGCTGTGCTAAGGGTGGGCTCTTAGACCTCTCTGTGTCTGTGGCAGCTGCCTCATGCACAGCTTCTATTCAATTCACATTGAGTCCCACTCATGCCTTTGTGCCTTTGT